GTAGTGTCTGGAGGTTTGGGATCCGCTTTTCGGCATTCCCAACCTTGCTCGTGTGTATTCTCATTGCAGCCCTTGGAGGTGAGCAGCAGGCATTGTTGCTTCCGTGTTGTAGGTGAGGACTGGGGTTTAGTGGAAGAACTCGGGTTTGGCTCAGTGGTCCGGCTTGTCCAGCTGCAGTGCGGGAGGGAGGCGGGGCCCGGCAGAGCAGCTGTCTCTGCTCAGCGCTCACCCTCTTTGCAGTACTGACTTGGGGCCTGGTGAGAGGGGAACTCATCCCTTGAGGAGGAGGGAACTGCAGGAGGAAACTTTTCCTCGGAACTGAGCTAGCGTTTCTGTCTGCGGATTCACTGAGCCATTAACTGTGGCCTTTTGTGTTACTCTTCTGGAGTTGCGTCCGAAGAGTTGCTAAACTTATCTTTTATCTGTGGTTTTTTTTTTTTTTTTGGTCTGTTGTAGTTGTTTGTCCCATGTCTGTGGCCGACAGTAATTCTTTCTACCTGACCATCATGTCAGAATCTAAATAGGGAATAAATTTCCAGGCATCTCCCAATTTGCATTCTGCTCTGTATCTCTCATCCACCCCCACAGATCCAGTTTTAAGCAGTTTTATTAGGCGTAACTGACCAACAGTAAAGGATGCGTGTTTGAGGTGTACCGTCTGATGAATTCTGACCCGTGCACACGGCCACGAAACCACCAGCACAGACCAGCTGTGAGCTCGCACGCTGTCACCACGGATGGTTCCTCTGGCCTTGGTCAGCCCTCCCTGGTCGCTCCCCAACCTCCAGGCAGCCTCCGATCTTCCCTGTGTCTCTGGAGATGGGTTTGCGTTTCCAGAACATGACTGTGAAGGGAGATACTCGTGTGTGTGTCTGCGCGTCTTCGTCTGACACCAGCCATGTGGGTTTTCCAACGGCAGGCAGTTTGGCGACACCAGCCTCAGGGCATGCAGTTGACCTCAGTTCTGACATGTGTCTGGTGGAGGGCAGTCACCCCAAAGGTGAAGGGTCCATCCCCCACGACCCCCCGCCCTCACTCCACCAGCTTCCTTTGTCACCTGTGCTCTGGCCGACTAACTGTAAATCCAAGGTTCCCACGGCCCCATCTGAGCTTCATGGTGCCCAGAGCCCAGGAAGCCAGTTTTCCCACCTGACTCATGGCAGTGTTGTTAGAAGGACCGTCAAGGACACCATGTGCAATTCGATGATGAGGACAGAGGGCGAAGTCTTATGGGCCCCAAGCCCCTGGAGCTTCTGTCCCCGTGAGCTTGGTCATGAAGTCCACCCTCCTGGCACGTAAATGCATCTGGTGCATAAACCTGGGAGCCCTTGAACCCCATCATTCTGGGAGTATGGAGGCTTCGTGACGGACACAACGCATTAGGTCATCGGCAGTGGGTAATGGAACTCGGCCTCTAGCCACTGTCCTCTGCTCAGGGGTTCGAGGGTAGGACTGAAGCTTCCAGCCTCCTACTCACTGGGTTGGTTCCCCTGGTAACCAGCCCCCATCCTTAGGGAGGGTCCAGAGTCATTTCACTAACATCCACAGGTGTGCTTCAATGGGGTTGGCTTGTTTGTGGCAAAAGACACCTTTATAGCTCTTGTCACTTAGGAATTCCGAGAGTTTTTGAAGCTCCGTGCCATCGATGGAGATGAAGACCAAATATATATATTTGTTACTATAAATCACAGTATAATAGTTACATAGATGGAGTCCTGCTGGCTGTACTGTTTTTGGTCTGACTTTGGTTCAGTGTGATCATCCCAGGTTCATCCACGTTGTTTCCCAGATCAGTGATTCATTCCTCACTGTTGCTGAGAAGTGCTGTTTGTTTATCTGCTCGCCTGTTGATGAATTTGGGCTTGTTTCTATTCTGGGGTTGTTTTTGGCTTTTACAGATGAGGGCGTATGATCGTTCATGTACAGGTCTTTTTTTTGGGTGTGTGCTTTTACTTCTTCTGCGTGAGTTCCCAGGCATGGAGTAGATCCTAGGGTCATCCTGAGAAGTGTGTGTTTAATCTTTTGAGAACCTGCCGGACTGCCATAGTGATTGGGTCGTTTTCCATTCCCTTCAGCAGAGAACTGTGCTCTGTCCACATCCTTAACAAACATTCGGTGTGGCTGATGGTTTACCTTATCCATTCTAACAGGTGTGCTCACCACCTCCTGGTGGTTTCAGTTTGTATCTCCTTCATGATAGACTGATGGCTCTGGGGCTTCTTCTTATAGCAGGCAAGCAATGAGACAGGAGCCAGTGATGAACGCATGGGGGCAGAGGAATGTCATCCTTGCCCTCTGCTCTCTGCCTTTTCAGTTAGAGCTGGGTGTTAGCATCCACATGAAGGGTTCACATGTCAAGGAAAGGTGCATGACTGTTTATCACTGTGTTAGTCCATAGATAGAACTCTGCTTTCCCCACCCAGAGATACTTATTATTTAGTTGTAAAGGGTTTTGAGCAAAGACTGGATGATTTTTTTAAAATAATGGGATGCTGCTTCTAAGCCTTGGAAGGCAGCTCTGCTCCCCACTGTACCTCGGATCTGCTTCTAAACCATAGCTGTGAACGGCACTCCTCCACCACCCCTATGTTTACTGAGTGGCCTCCATGTGCCACACGTGGGGTCGGCGATGCAGTTTGACCCTGCCCCTTCTCCCTCTTCCCCACCAGTGAAGTCTTTCCAGTTGTGTTTTAACTTCCCGGGAAATGAGAAATACCTTAAACTAGTGCTTGTCACCCTGGATTGTAACTTCATTTATATGCCTGTCTCTCTCACTGAACCTTTAATTCCTTGAGGAAAGGGATTTTTGTCTTATTTTTTTGCTGTTTATTCTCTGCATTTCCACTGGCTGAAGTATAATCAAAATGCAGATGTTTGGTGTGCAGGCGAATCCAATGTGGATGTTTCTGGAAGCCAGCTAAGTGTATCTAACTGGAAGGAAGGAAAGCCCATGAGAGCTGAGGACCCTTGGAGAGCAGCAGCTCTGTTGATCAGAAGAAGAACCTGAGGCCTCTCTCGGTTAAGACGTCTCCCAGGGCCGTGCAGTGTTAGCCGCAGGACCCCGTACTCTCTGTCTCTCATCCTGCAGAAGTGGACAGACCGTGTTCTAGTAGCAAAGTCTGGACGTTGATCCCACTGAACCACAACTGGTGAACCGTCTGTGGTCCTTCCCCCGCCCTGCCCCTCACTTCATCACGACTTTCATCTGAAGCTTAACTAGGAAGAGACCAGGCAGTGTCGCTCTAGAAGGTCACGGAATGGGCCGGGCCTTGGGGAAGCCCAGGCTCCCCCTCTGACTGCGGACACGTGACCTCCTGGGGATGTCAGCCGGCAAGCAGAGTGCTGTGAAACTGGGGAGCAACCACAACCTTGCCCTTCATAGTGGACAGTACGGCGGAGTCAGAGCACAGGCTCTATGTGGCCACTTTTTCTGGGATCATGTTTATTCTGAGGACAGAATTCCTGCATACCTGTCAACATGATCACAGATCCAAACACGGGCAGCCAGCACAGCAATCTCCCAGAAAAAGTGGAGCATCACCGAAAGATAATGAGGTCATCTCACTGAGAATATACAGTGGGGACTTCCCTGATGGTCCAGGGGTTAAGAATCCTGCCGGTGCAGGGGACGCAGGTTCAATCCCTGGTTGAGGAACTAAGACCCCACATGCCGCAGAGCCACTAAGCCCAGGCGCTACAACTGCTGAGCCTGAGAGCTGCAACTGCTGAAGCCCGTGCACCTAGAGCCCACGCTCTGCAACAAGAAAAGCCGCTGCGATGAGAAGCCCACACACCACAACTAGAGAGTAGCCCCCATTTGCCACAACTAGAGAAAGCCCACACGCAGCAATGTAGACCCAGGGCAACCAAATGTAATAAATTAAAAAAGAAGACACAGGAATCTTAAATGTTGTGTGTATGTTCAACAGCAGACCTTCAAGATACATAAACACAAACTGATGGAGCTCAAGGGAGAAATCGACAGATCCACAGTGATCACTGACAGCTTCAACCCCCCTCTCAGTAATTCATGAAACGAGTGTATTAAAAATCAGCTAAGGATACAGAACATCTCAGCAGCAGCGTCAGTCATTGCAGTCGATACACAATCTTTTGAAGCATGTGTGAGACATTCACCAAGACACACCGTTTTCTGGGCCATAAAACAAAGCAGATTTAAAAGAATTAAAATCAGACAAAGCATGCCCTCTGATCACAACAAAATTAAACTGAAAGCCACCAGCAGTAAGAGATCTGGAAAAACTGACTAATTGTGTTTGTCTCACTCAGTTGCCTTTGGCTGCTCACCCAAAAGACATCTTCCAGATGGTTCACATGGAAGGGATGGTCACAGAAAGAGATGCTCTGAGAACTTCATACTGTTTTAAACATCTGTGGAGCTGCTTCCATAGTTTCTTTTTTTTTTTTTTTAAGAAAAAAGGTATTCCAGTTAATCATGCTGTGGGATAACTGAAGAGCTTCATTGTATGGAATTTAAAAAAGAGATTAGATGAGTTATTGGAAGATAGGAAAGTTGCCTGAAAGTAGAAAGCATATTGATATGATTCTGAAATTCTTTTATCATTTGACTTGAATTGTAATGAAGAGTACTACTGGAAGTTAAGTGCCAGTGTGCAGGCGTCTTGTTGTGTAATGAGTAAAATCACAGGAAAATTCAGGTTTAGATTAATTGTACAGTAAGCAAAATTAGATGGGAAATAATTTTAAGTATTTTATTTTAGCCATGCTTAACTAGAAATCGTGCATACATCATTTTTCTATAAAAGTAGAATGTGCTGTCTGTATATCTTTGAAATCTGTAACGTTTATATAAGTAGTTTGACATCTGTTGCGTGTTTAGCCAGTTCGCTCACACAGAAGCGATAGGATAATGCGGATTCCTGGGCAAGAGTCTTTTTCCAGGGAGTCGAAGCTCCAGGCGTGTTACACTGGGACTGTGAGCTTCTGAAACCATCTTTTTCATTTTCAGATCGTGAGCCATGCCCTTAGTGAAGAGGAACATCGAGCCCCGGCACTTGTGCCGGGGAGCCCTGCCCGAGGGCATCACCAGCGAGCTCGAGTGTGTGACCAACAGCACCCTGGCCGCCATCATCCGCCAGCTGAGCAGTCTGAGTGAGTCCCCTCGCCTCAGGCTCCCTCCTTGCCGATTGCCAGTGACGTGTTAATTTTAATGACTTTAGCCAAGTGATTTCAGTTCAGTAGTTCCGGGATTGTCCAAAGAAGAGGCTTTGGAGGAAAAAGCCTTTCTCCCTCCTGAAAATTACCCAGCATGAAATGAGCTGTCTGCCCTCTCTGGTCTGCTGACCCCAGCTTGGTGTGATCAAGTTGGAATTGACTGGTTCACAGATGACTAGATAAGACCAAATGTGTAGTTTAAAGTAGTGTTCATTTTTAAAAGATTATTATACATAAGGATAAAATCATTGGTAGTTGTTTTTTTTAAGCGAGTTATTTATTACACTTGGATAGGACTAATCTTTTTTTTAAACGTAGTGAATTGAGAACTGTGCTATGCCTGGCATAGAGTGGAGGCTCGATACGTGTTTGTTGATTGAATAAGATTTCAACTGAATCAGAGGATCCAGCCTGAAACCAGTGAGACTTGCTGATTTTAACCTTCTAAAGGTTAAAGTGCAGGTACTGACTTCCGAATGGAGGTCAGCAATGAGCTGTTGGTGACACGTATGCAGTGCCATGTACACGTCACACGCATGGGTTACAGACATGTAAGCAAACACAGGCATAAGGAGGAGAGGGCTTCCTTTTTTTCCTATTTTGAACATTAGTATGAGATACACAAGGAATACTCCATTTCTTAAGACTCATTTGTCCATGAAAATGCTTTTCTTCCAAAGCTTTTTGAAGTTGCAGTCTTTCTGCCTAACTTTTACATTCACGTCGTGATCTTATTTTCTCACTCATCCCACTCCTTTTCGGTTTAGATGGTTCACACTGCATTTTGGGTGACAGGTTTTCACAGTTAAATTTTCAGAACCTCTGTTAATAATGAGAAAATCCTCCATGGAATTTCACGTCCTGGTCACCTCAAGCACAGGAGAGTGGTTTAAAAAAAAAAAAACACAACTCAAGTACTTTTATTTGTTTTGAAGAAGAAACATAACAGATGAGTTTTTTTTTTTTTTTTCTGTAAAAGAATTGTACTGTGTTGTTATGGATATATTTTTGATATATGATACCTATAATCATTGGCTGAGGCCAGACTAACCTGGAAATTACTTAAAATGTGTTTCAAAATAGATTTCTTCTGGAGTCTGAACTAATTATAATTGATTTTTGGTAGCGGTTGTTGATAAAATGTGTAGACTCATGTTACAAGAGGATACCATGTAGATTATTGAAGGGTGAACATGTTTCTGTGTACCTTCATGTATTTCTGTAAGAATGCTTTTCAGTCTCTTGTTTTTGTGCCTGAAGTGTCTATGGGCCTGGGGTCTACGTGAGGAAAACCAACGTGAACTATTAAGGTTGTTAACAATCGTGCCGTGTTCCGTAGAGCGTTGCGTCAGCCGTATCTGTGGGGCCTGTTTGCAAGTGGAGCCGCCCACATGGTCTGGTCTGTTCCGTGGAGCCCCCTCTGGGCAGCCTGAGGCCCGCCCGTCCGAGGGCCTCTGAGTCTTCATCCCGGGGACCCACGGGTGTGCTGTGTCACTTGGCAGGCAGAGGGTTGAGGCTGCTTGTCAGCTCACCTCACAAGAAGCAGGTTACCCTGGGCTGTCCAGGTGGGCCCAGTGAAAACCGGGGGTCCTTTAAATGGGCAATCCGGAGTCATTAGTTCTCTAGTGCAGCGGTCCCCAACCCCTGGGCCGCAGACCACTGCCTCCCGTCAGGTCAGTGGTAACATTAGATTAGAGATAAAGAGCACAGAAAGTGTAGTGTGTTGGATCATCCCGAAGCCAGCCCCCTGCCCCCGATCCGTGGAAGAATTTTCAGCCAGAAAATCGGTCCCCCAAGACCAAGAAGGCTGGGGAGCACTGCTCTCGTGGGTCTAGGGGAGGAAGAACAGAGCCAGGGCCAAAAGGCATCTCTTTGGTCTTTTCCAGAAGGAAGACTTAGCAGTGGAGGGCCTGGTGCAGCTCTGGTGTCTCTCTGGTTCTCTTCACATCTGTGGGGGGATAGTTCAGCGTCATGAGGGGATAATAGATACCAAATAGTCCCTCAGAATGCAAACAGAACTAACATATGACCCAGCGATTCCACTCCTGGATTTATATCCAGAAGAAAATGTAAATACTAACTGGAAAACATTCTTCAACAACCTCTGTGTTCCTAGCGGCACTGTTTACAAAAACTGAGAGGTGGAAGCAGCCTGCCTGTCCATTGACAAACCAATGGACAGAGACAGTGGACTGTAGATACACACATACACACAGGAGAATATTACTCTGCCACAAAAAAGAATGAAATTCTGCCATTTTCAGCAATGTGGATGGACCAAGAGAATATTATACTTGGTGAAATAAGTGTCAGAGAAAGACATACTGTATGTCACTTATATGTGGAATCTAGAAAATAAATGATTGTATATAGCAAAACAGAAACAGACTCACAGATACAGAAAACAAGCTAATGGTTACCAGTGGGGCAGAGGGATGAGCAAGATATGGGTGTGGGATTAAGAGATACAAAGGACTGTGTATAAAGCAGATAAGCAACAAGAATCTACTATATATAGCACAGAGAATTATAGCCATTATCTCGTAATAGCTTTTAATGCAGTATATAACCTGTAAAAATATTGAATCACTGTGCTGTGTAACTGAAATGAAAATAATATGTAAATCAACTTTACTTCAGTGAAAAAAAATTAGTGTGTTACTTGGTTTTCCAGTAATGGAGTATTGATATTCTTTTCTTCAAATAATGACAGTTTCGTGTAGCAATTAATATTGAATTGGGAGTGCTTTTTCATCATTTTCCTTGATTAATTATCTGAGTGCTCTTATTCTTATCACCTAGTTGCTCAATTAAAATTATTGTCTTGCAATCAAATTCCTTCTGCTATTATAATTCTAATAGAATTTGCTTTAAAAAGGAGACAGAGCATTTGTGTCCAATCCATTTCTGTGCCTCCCAAGCCAGTTTCCGCTTCTCTCTCTACGTTCTTGCAGTAATAGCTTTCTTTTCCTTTTTTATGAAGGCCCTCAAGATGTCACAAGGAAAGGAATTAGACCTTAGGTACCCCCTGCCCAGAGTTTTTGGTTATATTTTATGGTACTAATAAGATAGTATAGAGAACTTAGCACAGAATAACATGAAAGGAAAAAATTACCTTTTTTTTTTAAATTAATCACAGAAAGTCATTGATAATGGATCATATATATATATATATCATTCTAAAAGTGATTTCTCATACATCTGGTTTTATAGCCTATTCTCACTTGGTAGATATTCAGCATCTAAGATACGTTTTTAATAGCTAGAGATTATTATATTGATATACCATGAATAACCATTATCTTGCTGTTGGGCATACATATGTTTCTTTGGGGAAACACTGTCATAATTCTTGTATAAAACTAGTACTTACATCTCAAATCTTTTTGGCATCTCTCTTTTTTTTTTTTTTAAGATTTCTTTCATCTTATATGTCATCAAGCTTCCTTCCACAGAGCTAAGATCATCCTTACCAATGGTATAAAAATTCTGAGACTATCAGTTTTAAACATGAGTCTCTTTAAAAAAAAGATTACAGAACCTATTTTCCATTTAATTTCTACATTGAGTACTTGTATAAATGAGAAGGAAAGTCTGTTTTCTTCTCAGTTTTTTAATTAGTAATTAATATTTTTATTAATACTCTTTATGTATTATGTCTCATATCAAACCAAATGCTAAATTGAATCAAAATACTTTTCTTGATGGCTTGCAGCATAATACATTTGCTTTATGTAATTGGATCTGAAATTCAGGGTTGTGTTAATTGACTATACCAAGTGCAGTTTTAGTCAGAAGAGAGATTTTAAGTGTTTTGAAAGCATGTGCTGAATAGATTTCTTGGATGTTTTTAGCCAAATGGAATATTTGAGGGGGAAAAAGGGAAGATTAAACATAATATATGCAAGAGATAGATCACAAGTTCATGACCATGCAGGTTCAGGCTAGGCTAAGGGTGCTTTAAGAGAAGAGGTGTTTATGTACTAGACAGAGTTGACTGGAGGAAACAGCATGAATTTTTAAAAATTTACTGCCTCAAACTGAGATATGTGTTTGCATTTCTTGTGGATAAAAATAGAAAGCCAGTGAAGGAGGTAAGCAGTCCTGTATATGTGTATGTGTAAAGTAAGGCTCTGTCAGCCACAGAATTGAAGGTAAGTGGAAAAATCTGCTCCTGACAAAGACAGGGCTGTTGGAAACTGAAGCATTTTCCCTAACCCATCCCTCACCTGGAGCATCAGATGTGTTTCCTCAATAGAAGTAATGACACCAGGGTTGTTTCTCACCTCTCCCTGCTCTGGGCTGACTGCATCGCAGCAGGATTTAAATGCAGACTGATTCTTCCTAACACACGTGGAGAGCCAGCTATCAGACCTCTCTGCCTTCATCATCTGTGTTCTTCCCGTCTCATGAGTTCATAGGCCTACGGTAACGTATCGTAAGTGACTTACAGGTGTCTTTCTGACCGTTGCGATCTGCACTGTTATTATCACCTAAAAACGTTGAGGGAAGGTTTTTAATGTTTTTTTCTAAAATTGTCCAAACCGTGACACCACTGTCCTGTCAGTCCACGACTGTGATCATCAGCAGTCTCAGGTCAGTTGTGTTCCTCCTCGACACAGGGCCTTTCATAAGGGTAGGTCTACTGTGTCTGTTTCTTTCTCTACCAGCCTTTTACACACATAGTCCAGCCAAAAGTAGGAGACTCACGGGAAGGGAAAAAAGCGTGACACTCGATCAAGAAAAAGAGAAGTTACAGAAAGAAGCAGGAACCACAGATGACCCCAGCCTGGCATTCCAGACATGGAAGTCACACCCACCTGCATAAGAAAAGATCTCAGCAGCTTCTCTTAGATCATCAGAGAACTGAGGTCACAGGACAAACCACTGCCCCAGAACTGGGAAAGACAGATTCCAAGGATCACAGCTTACCAGGA